TGAAAAAGTTGAGTGGGGGATGAAGAAACGAGTTCTCCGCATTTTTTGAATGGGTGTTTTTTCGCTTGCCAATTTTTTTTTTCTTTCTTGTTGTGGTGCGTGTCCATATCAGCATGTGGATTTTTTTATTGTACCTCATCTGACGTTTTTTTTCTTCTTTTTTTTTTCTTTTTGAACAAGTCTAGGGGATTTGGGGGGAAAAACCGTGACAATAAAAGATAATTCTTCATGAATTGCACCCTTTACTCGCTTCTTCTCCTCAAGGCAGTTTCAGTGATGCCAGGAAATTATTCGGTGCTGCTGCTCGTGAGACAGTACTTTTTCAAGTACTTCAGTACTACCTCATCATTGATAGCATATAAATAAACCAGCGTTTTTTTTTAATACGGAAATGCCTCCAACAGTGACCGAGTTAACACAGCAATGACAGGAAAAGTTAGGATAGATGTCGCTGGAAGTCTCAAAAGCAAGCATATTCCTTCACAAATTGTAATACGTTTTTTTTCATACATTTCCCTGTACTACAATATTTAATCAGCAATTATGCACTTGCTGCGTGTGAGTAAAGATGTCAATGGCTGTTAAAATCACATTTTAATATGTTTTAAATACAAATTTATACATTTTCGAAATAGTCCATGAGCGGGAGAATATTGTTTTCGTGCTGGTAGATGTCACCAGCAGTCAACACCTAAATTTCCTCAGCTTTCATTCAATTATGTGGGCATATATTAGGTATATAAAAGTTTAATTGGTTTGAGGAATTTTCTGAAATAATGAAGAACCTCTGAGTACAAAATAATCAATAATAATAAAAATATTAAATGATAATAAATATCAATATCATTCAATAATGATGAATGCTATCTTCGGTACCGAAAAGTAATGAGAGAGCACAGCAACTTTTGGGACACCCCTCGAATAGTGAAGATTACGTAATTCGCTCAAATATTCGAGGATCACGTGAATGCTTTCGCAAAACGACGCGAAATTATTCAAAATCACACAACCGAGAGAGCGTTTCATTTTCTTTCAATTCGGGGAAACCTCTCGTCGACAAACAGAAACAATTTCAAGCAGCTCGCAACCATTTTCATGCACAGTTTGAAATCCTTTGAAATTCTCCCAAAGCGGGTTTCCAACGGACTGGATTAAATCTCCCTTTGAAGTCGAGTCGCTTTTGAAGATCAACAACACTTGAAATGTCAGCATCCCTTATATATTTGGTATCCAACAAAATTTGAAAACCCACACACACACGAAAGATATAAATACTGTACTGTATAAATATATAAACACTCACGAATTTGTTGACGTTCCGGAACACGAGGGGGGAGGAGAAATCAAGAAGTAAATGTAATTGCAACGAAGGAAGTAATCAGCCCAAGAGAAGAGGATGAGGGAAACGGCAACCCGGAAAAACAGGGTTTCCTTCTGGGTGACACGCAAAAATTAGCCCTATATACTCGGGACTCTTCCTTCAAGCTCGTTTTCGCAATTTTCCTTCATTACTCGGACGCCCAAAATTTTTTGCAGTCTCTCTACAATGGGGGACATGAAATGTGTTACAAACAGGCCTCTGGGAAATTATATTAGACCAAGTTTTTTTTTTTGCGTCCAAAAACACGAAAGTCCTCCAGGAATTTTTCCTTTCCAGAGAGGCATGTATTCCATTGCGAGGGGAAATATGAACGCATCTGGAAAGCACGTTTCTTGGGAGATGTAAATTCAGTTACAGCTGCTGGACGAGCCAAAACTCACTGATTGAATCAGTCAGAAAACGAGTATTTTTTTTTTGGCGGGTTCAAAATGCATGAAAAAAATATTCTAAATCAGGAAAACGTGAACCTGAAATGTCAGGAAAATAATAACAGGGCGACACGCAAATTTTGTTTCTGTGCCATGCTTGACAACTCAGATTCAAAACTACATAAGTTGGAACTGTCAAAAAAAGGTTGTTTCCATTTTTATGAAAAATTGTCTGCGAAGGGCCAAATTTTATGCAATAATAAATTAACAGAAAGCTTTACTTTCCGCTTTTCAGCATAGGTTCAATCAACATTCCCATGTTGAAACCCCCACCCAACCCAACCCAAATCCATTCAAACTCATTCAATCACTTCAGAATGGGAAACAGAGAAAAAAGCTATACATGGATACCAAAATGAAAGAAAATACATTCCACAATGTACAACTTATGTGTATGCGTACACCCCCTTCTTTCCCTTGTTATCCAAAATACAAAGACAAAAATAAAGGAAGACTGTAGTGACCAATTACTGTTGTACCTTCAGTCTTATGATTACAGACAAGAGGTTGGAGGTTTGAAAAGTTTTCTGCGACTTTCAAAAGAAATGCATAAATTACTCCATGAGAGTGTTCTCAATTATGGTTTATTGTTCTTCTCACCCACAGTAAGATACATAAAAGAGTTGCAAAGCAAAGCAGCGTCAACAAGGTGTCTTGGTCAAAAGCAGGAGCGGTAAACTTAAACTTAATGTAAAATGCACCTGTATATATAGCCTTGGTTGGCCAAGGTCAAGGAACGCGCATAGAAACCAATTTGGATTGAGGGTGCATCATACTTCGTTTATTTAAAAGGAAAGGAGCGTGAACGCGCTTGGGAAAGAATTTGGTCAACAACAGGATAGTGAATTTAATTACTAGCGCGACTGGCACAGCCAAGCCTAGCAGAAATACATTAGGCTAAAAAGGGTTTCACAGAAAGTATCTGTGCATTGTAGTCAAGAACATGACTACACCCTTGACAGTGAAAACAAAATATCAGTATCAAGAATTGCAGCATTAGCCACAATTATAGCAATTGCAGCAGTTACTAAACCAAATTTAAAGCACAAGGTCTTCAGCCAGTTCCCAGATAAGGTTTAGTTGAATGAACAATTTAGTTAGAATCTTTGTTGAGAAATCATATAAGGCCAACAGTATTTTCAAGCAGTAATCTCACACCTCATTCACGTCATTTTATTTGGGTAAAAATAATTGGACAAACTTCTACATTCGTTTTTGGGAAATAGCAAAGTACTTGACCAATATTTTACATCACTGAAAAATAAGTTATCTTTCCAAGAAAACTTCATAAATACTTTTTTTTTGCTCCAGCACATGAATAAACTTTATCTACATCTGAAATTTCTCCAGGGAATTCTTCAGCAATCAACTGAAGTTCAACTGAAAAACGAAGCGCAAAATTTAGAACACAATCACATGGAAATTTTCATTCACTTTCCAAAGTGTAAATTCTTGGCATTTGATTCAAAACTTGAATAAAATTTCCGCTTTCAGCGTCAGAATTACATCTCATGAACAGAATTGAATCCTTGAAAAAATTTGGAACGACATATTTTCTTATTCAATTAATAAATTAATTATCATAATTCTGGACAGCTTCGTTTTTTATGGTCCTCCCTCAGTTTACGCCTGAAATTACGCAAAAAATCACGAACTAAGCATCAGCAATTATTCACAACATCAAGAAAAATTACCTGAAAATGTTGAAAGAAATATCCTTATTTTCGCTGTTCCCGTGAAAAAACATCTGCGCCAAGGAATTCTTACAAACTAACTCGAAATTGCGTGACTAATAATAATCGTATGCAGGAAAACATTTAAAACCATCATCACGGATAATTAGAAATATGGAAAAGCATCACGAAAATTGAGGAAGAGGCCAGAATGAATTTCCCGGGCCCGGAAACGGGTTCCCGTCACTTCCCATAGACACGCGGGACTAAACAGATTATGTATTTATGAAATTGCAAATTCCGGGCCATTGGGAGAGAAGAAGGACGTTTTCTACGCGCCGAAACATGCAAATTTCCTCGCATTAACACTTGAAACTCGCTGTGTGGAAATATTCAGGCTCAAAAATATCCCAGTTTTCGTTTATTTTCGAAGAAGAAAAAATATGATTCGGAATGAAACTTTTTTTTTCCTAATGTATACCCACAACAGCCGGTTCTACAATATCCAGAAAATTGCTTCAAAAATGGGCCTCGTCATGGAATGAAAACGCCATCACGGAATACATGGTCCCGAGGCCTGAATCGGGCTTCGTTTGCCATTCCCTTCATTTGCATTTCCCTACTCTGGAAAGGCCTTGTGAGAAGCGAACGAGAGATGGAAAGAAAAGAGATACATGCAAAACATGCGGGTTTTTTTTTTTTTTTCGAAAAAAGGCTTGGGAAACCAGCCAAGTTCTGTGTTCAACAGGAAAGGTCATCTCATTTTGAAAAGTTTTCACTCTTTTCATCATGGACAAATGAATTCAATTCCTTGAGGACTTCACATGTTGAAAAAAAAAAATTGCTGGGAGTTACCTGAAGAAAAACATCCATTTCTTGCCTGAGATTACATGTATAGATGTCGCCCTTGTGTAATATGTTTGTCTTGTGATTATCAAATTTAAAGGGAATACACAAATCTTCAACATGTGAAGTTCATGACTTACAAATTAAGGCCTTAAAGGAAATAATTTGATACCTCAATTAGTGCAACTAAGCGTCAGGATCAAGTTGCACAATTCCTTGCAGAAAGCAGCAGTATACAATTGCAAGATCATATTTTGCGTGTTTTTTTTTATTTCCTGGAACAATTGCTTTTGATATTCAACCACAGTTAATTAAAATGGCCACATAAAATTTTCAAAATGGCCAAAAAAAATTGAGTAGGGAGACATTGTCATCAATAAGGTTTCATCATGATTGCCAATTAACTAGATGTTTCTCCACCTTCAACCCAAATTGATATGCATAAGTACAATAGCAAGATATACTAGGTATTCTTTACATGCTTTAGGACGCACACAAAAATTCAATGACAAAGGAAATACAGTATGCTATAGGTTTCTGACTCATGGAAAGGTTCAAAACATATTTTCCTGCACATATTCAGCATACATGGTGAATTAAAAACCGCAAAAATACTTGTGCATAGGTCAAAGCAAGCATTCCTTTTTGGACACAAAATCAACAAACGTTCAGTTCTGAATCAGCAAGGTTTATTTTTCATCAACAAGATCAACACACAGCATCATCACAACCTCTACCAACATTCTTCACAGATTCAACCCTTTCCAAAGAAAATATCATGATTAAAATCAGAAAAAAAGAGGGAATCCTCGCAAAAGGTAGATGAATAAAATGGGTTTCAAATATTTTGCATAAAAGCCAAAACACATTCGGAACTGATCCAATGTACATATTTTTCTTCTTTTTTTTTAAAAAATTCGCACACAGCATCATCACAACCACAGTCAACATTTTTTCTTTGATTCCGATCTTCCACAAAAATCATGATTGAAATCAGAAAAAAAAAATTTCTTCCTAAAAAGGTTGATCAACATTCTTCGCATAAAATTCATAACAACTGAAAAAATTCGATACACTGCACATTTTTTTTTTTGTTCAACAAAATCCACACACAGCATCATCACAACCTCTGCCAACATTCTTCAGAGATTTCGCCCTTCTCATAAATGCAACATTGCACACAAAGAAATACACTAAATCGTGTTGCACTCACACTGACCCGATGCGTTTTCAGTTTCACGAATTTTCCAGAAAAATCATCTGCGGGGAAAAACACGGAAATTCAAGAGAAATTAAGCCAATGAATGTATCTGGGGAGAAACAAAGACACTCACATAAGGTTTTATAATTTCAACAAAACAAAAAAAACCTCTTGGAAGTTCGCACAACCTTCAACCCTTATTCAATAAAAAATAAAAAATAAGTCCATTCCACGCATTTAAACGAATTTGATTAATCCGCGAGTTCTATCGACATGTCGAACCCGGGGAAAGACAAGATTCTTCACATCAACACATCCGCCATCAAAGAATTCAGATCAGCGAATTCTCTCGCTAGAAGCAGACTCAGACAATCGAGTTTACTAGCACAACATCCTAGTCTCAAAAGCCGCTCGATGAGTGCAGTCAAAAGCGTAAACAGATCAATGGCTTTAGGTGAGAATTGAATTCTTCAAATTCGGCAAGCAATCAAATAGACTTGAAAAAGCAAGAGTTCTTGCTTTAAAAAAAAAAAAAAAAGGGAAAAGACCAACTTCTCGTATTCCTGAAGAACAAAGGCTGGAGCAAGAGGAGTCCGCGACTGGTCAGAAGAATATCAAGAAAAGACAAAGATTCAAAAAAAAGGTAATTCCCCCTATTTCAACTTTTTTTTTTTACAATTTTACTTCTGCTCACTTTCTACAACACCCGTGTCCGGCGCCACGTGGTTTCCTTTCTCTTCGCACAGATGTCGCTTGCATATTGATTTTAATTCAGTCGACATCATCTGAAGCTATATATTGATGCAGCAAATCGAAGATTAATTTTGAAGGAATTCCAAACAGCAATTATCCAATAGAAATGCATTCTTTCTTTTTTTTCAAGTATTCCTTAGAAAGAAGCGAATCGCAGGAAATGTCACCAAAGACAACAGAAGGAGAGGATGGACAGAATATTATCCGGCCTGCCAAGTCTCGCAACAAAACAAAGAAGAGATCAAATTCGGAAGATGCTGATGAAGAACAATCAGACGAAGACATTCAGTACAATTCGGAGTCGAGAATTGCTAGAGGTCGTAAAACTGAAAAGAGGTGGACGAAGATGGGAATAAAATGGCAGCAGGTGGAGTTTCGCAGCCTTTTTTTCCTCAAAACTTTCAGTAAATTGTCAATTCTATGCGACTTCCGTTTAAAGAATGAAGATAAATATTTTCCAAACTCTTAAGAAAATCGGAAGAAACATTTTCCCATTTTTTTTGTATTAAGGAAGTGCCTTCATTTGAATGTTTTCCCGCGTTTCAGCCATCAATTCAAAACAAGGATCAGACGACTTCTGTGTCAACGTCCGCTAGTAAAGGCATTATTACTCCACAAAGAGTCCCAACTCTTGGTCCTAGTCATGGTTTGCTTTATTGACCATCGCTATACATTTCAACTAAGATTTGAATATAATCGTTGATTTTCAGCCAGCTTCGCGACAATGCCTCAGGGCAGAATTCAGGGAATGTCCATATTTAAAGTCACCTCGACAACTGTACGCCCCTCGGGAACGGAAAGGCGGAGAACATTTAATGAACCACAAGATTCAAGGTGAAAACAGCTTCTTTCGTCAACTTTTTTCTTCTTTTGAGTATCGGTGCATTTTTTAACTGGGTTCTAGATTTTACGAAAACACTCGAACAAATTTAAATTTATGAAATTCGAAACTCGACCTCCGAATTTTCAGAATAAAATACTTCTGAGAAATATATCCAAGAATTGTAGAGAAAACAAATCCTAAAGTAAACTAAATCTACGATTTACAGTTTCTTGCAGCAACATAAGCATATTTCTCGCCCACAACTCTATGAAAATTCAAACGAATTGACTGATACGAAATAAGTTGAGCGCAATCCTCGAGTAATGTTGGATATCCAGCATTAATCCAAGATTATTCATTATTTTTTCGAAAAGACTTGACCAAAACTCAACGTCTAAATTTGAAAGCATTAACAAATCAATACAACATTAGAACGAAAGGACATACGAAGCTCTTAAAATTATTTTCATAAAACTGTGAGATTTTTAACCCACGTTTCTCATGAAAAAAAGACACCTTAAAAAAATTAAATATTGTCATACTAACGTAATTCGGTAAATCGACATTTTTTACTTCATTCTAAGCAAAAACACACCCAAAAAGGAAAGGTTGATGGAAGCAATGCAACTTTATGAAATTCCCAATTTTTTCGTATTGTACAGTAATACAGTATTGTACAGTAATACAGTATTGTACAGTAATACAGTATTGTACAGTAATACAGTATTGTACAGTAATACCGTATTGTACAGTAATGCACTGTTGTACAGTGATACAATGTTGTACAGTGATACACTATTGTACAGTGATACACTATTGTACAGTGATACACTATTGTAAAGTAATACAGTATTGTAAAGTAATACAGTATTGTACAGTAATACAGTACAGTATTGTACAGAAATTCAGTACAGTATTGTACAGAAATTCAGTACAGTATTGTACAGAAATTCAGTACAGTATTGTACAGAAATTCAGTACAGTATTGTACAACAGTACAGTATTGTACAGAAATACAGTACAGTATTGTACAGTAATACAGTACAGTATTGTACAGGAATACAGTACAGTATTGTACAGGAATGCAGTATTGCACATGAATACAGTATTCTATTTTGATGATATAGCCGAATTCCGCAGTAGAAATACATCTGTCAAGAAATCAACAATCTCTTTGTCCTACTGACAAAACTCGGAAAATCGTAAATCTTCACTGAACAAACCCAAAAAAGGATTATAAAAGAAACGCAGCTTTCTGAAATTCCCTCCTCTTTTTCAGTGCAATTTATCTGTTGCTTCTTTTTTTTTTTTTGCAGGGACAAGTCTCTCCTAGATTCCGACTCGGATTATCTCCTCCTGTCACTGGTCTTGTACCCCCACGACAGTCATCAAGGGGCAGCTGATGATGGTTCCAGCACACTGGCCACCATCAAGTACGTTCTGGCCTGTCTCACAGCCTTCTTCCTGTACCCGGGCTCAGCTGTTCTTCTCTCCCTGGATGCCAATGCGAGTTGTTATTCCCCATTCTCTTACTCTCTATCTCTACAGCAGACGACACTAATGGGCTCAGTCATGCACTTACAGCGCAACAATATCCCAACCACATGACACACATTTTTAATCAAACTACAGTCCCCTTTATGTAATAGCACCACGCCTTGGCGACATCTGAGAGATGAGGAACCAACTACAGTTGAATAAAAACCTCTCTTAACTCTAAGGCATTCCCCCCTCAAACCTCCATAACACTAATTTTCTGGAGGCCTTTTGACTATCATTTCATCAAAACATGAAAGAAAACAAGCTATGAACAAAAATGTGATTTTATTCATTGTGAGAGGAAGTTAGAAGAAAAGCTTGGCAAATAAACCCTTGTTTCAAAGTTCAGCATTCTTACAACTCTCTCAAGAAACAATGTAATACCACAAATTAAAATTTCCTGTAATTCTTCTTTCTTTCCCTTAACATAGATGCAAGTGACATAACTCCTCAAGTCAAATTTTTTTGCTGGTCCCTCAGTTTGATTGTACTGTACTGTACTGTACTGTACTTCACTCACTCATCATACTCATTTATGGAATCAGGAGTTCAGGTTAATTCCATTGCAGATAGGCGCTCGATCAAGCATAGCTTCAGATAGGCATTGTGTCAAATTAGGTCAGAAGCTGAGCAGTTGAAACAAAAGGTAAGACTAGGCTTGCTCAAGCATAAGTACATTGTGCAGGCAATACCTTGCAATTCAGCCTCCAGCAATTTGACCATCCTGCAATTTGATGGTTGAATTTGCAGGGAGGTTGACTTGCAATTCAACCCTTGCCCCGCAATTTGACCTGCTTCGGCCACTTTTTTCGAGTATTTTAACTTTTATTATTTAATTTTATGCAGTGTCTTGCAATTCAACCAATTTGCAATTTGACCCTAAACTGGCAATTGATTAGGATTGAATTAAAAGGTACCACCTGTATACAGTAGTTCTGTAGTCAAACCTCTGTCTAATTTGAAGATTTCAACCAACAACATTTGCTCTGGTAATGCAAAAATGGAAGAATAGATTAGGCATAAGGCTAAACATTTTTTTTTTGTTCTCCCAAAATTATTCATAATGTCTTCATTACTACTAAAAATTAACCCTTCCCTGGGATCAATGCAGGACCCATACTGTATTTTCAAACGACCACGATTCCGCACGCGAAAAAAGCATTCACTCTATCCCATGTAAAACAAAATTCCCGTCCAAAAACCTATGCACCTCAAATTCCTAAAATCTTATTGACACCCTCCCCCTAAAAAATACCCAGGACCAAAGCAAGGAGTTGGGAACCATCCTGGTCGTGATTGGAACCCTGTTCCTACTCTTCTTCATAGCAGTGTCAGTTTACGGCGTAATTCAAGCCCGGAGATTAACGGGTGCCAAGCTTTTGACAAAGCATCGAGAAATGCGAGAAGAGCGCAAAAAGAAAAAGGCAAAAGCCACGTCTGTTCAAAAGGTGCACATCAACAGTTTTGCACTGCGCAGAAAGGTCCCCACAACCAATGCTGATGGAGTAACTTGGTCTTCTGAATTGCAAGATAAAACCACTCGACCAATACATTCAACTATAGGTAATCATCACAAATTTATTTTCGAAAAATATTTTGGAAGCCCGGCTTCACGTGCGACAGAATCGCAAATAATAATTCATTTTACACCTGTTCGACATTCGAATTAATATGCCATTTTCTCGAGAGAAAATAACCCCCAATTTCCCCACTTGAGTCAGTGAAAAGAATCTTGTTCCTCACGTCGCAAAGATTCAGGAACAAAATGTATCTTAATAATATTTCGATTCGCGAAACTCAATTTAACGTACAGTACTTACTTCCTTGAATCTCGTTTTCAAAAAAAAAAAACTCGTTATGGTTCAATGGTTCTAAAATAAGTTCATGTGTTATCAAAGAGGTAAATTTTCACGTCTTGGGTTTTCTTTTCTTTTTTTTCATAGGGGGAATTGCTGATGGAAGCGGTGGGAATGAAAGGGGGATTCGAACCAGAATGCGAAGACTCCTAACCTCAGTTAGCCCCGAGCAATGGGCTCGTTCAGCATCGACATGAACAGTTCATCTCCTTCGAAGTTCTGAATTTTCGAAGCAAGAAATGAAAATATTTCAGAGACCCTTTTGCTCTATCGAAAACGCGACCGAGTTTTCAATTAAATTTCCCTCAACAGGGAAGTGTAAAAAATTAGACTAACCTGATTTGGAGCGGATTCAGAACTCAAGCCAAGGCTCGATGTTCATCACCGGGATTTCATAGCTGTCGCATGCAACGATGTTGTTGCTGTAAAATTGTAAATTGATTTTGAAAAACTTATTTCCGAATTTCAAATTTAAAAAATGCTGAATACAACTCACACGTTCGACGCCTCGTAAAAAACCAACGGCTGCAGGAACCGAATCCGCTTCACGTTGTTGCAAATAATCCTCGCCATCGTCACTTTACGCAGTTCGTTCAATTGTGCTGGAAAAAAAAACCTCCAGGGTTAAAAATCAAGTACCTTGGGTACTTAGAATAACCACGTAATTCCTCCATCTCCGTGAATTTGCAGGTCACTGCATATAGATGTCGCCTCAACTCGGGTTGAGGGTCCTTGAGATTTCGATCAAGTTGAGATAACCTGAGTTTTTCTTCGACCAGATAAGGTTCTCGCTAGTCTATCAGAAATCAGTGATTCAAGCGAAATCTATCACTGATCGAAAAATTCCAGAAAGTTTTACCTATAAGCAGTGACGCAGGTTATTTTTACGCCACGAGTGAACTCGAATCAGTTCAAATCTGAGTATCTGACACAGTATATTCAAGTCATGTATGGTTGGTACTTCAGGCGACACCCGCCTGACAATTCAAAATCCAAAATGAAACTGGTTACAACAGCGCGAAAAAAAAACGGTTTAAAACATAGCTCCACTCGACTGAAGAGAATGTTTTATCTGATGTAAATTTAATTCACTCGCTCAATGGACTTTCCGGATACCGGCCTTTCCCATAATCATGAAGCAGATCAAGTCCATCAACGTGTATTACCATAGTAAAACTACTGGAAAAAATAAAAATAAAGTTGTTCCAGCACCTGGCGTGAAGGAATGTCGTTGGTTGCCCAGGTCGTAGAAGAACCTGTCGCCCTTCTTGGCCCTGGCAAAGTAATCGCCGATAATGCACACGAAAGTCGGTCCCACGATGGCCCCAGGCACGGGATTCTCAGACACCCCGCCTATGAAGAAATCGATGTCGTCCACGCTGTCGTACGCTCTCTTCAGCACCTCCACGGCCTGTTCAAGTGCCAAGAACCAGAACAAAAGTTTATCAACAGTGCTGGAAGGAAATCTCTCTCTCCACCGGAAATAAGACAGACAGGGAAATCAATCACTTAAATTGGTACCTGGAACGACGGTAGCTCACTTCCGTCTCGGGCCAATATACACTTCGCACAAGTGATTTATTCAACAGCGTGAACGTAAAATACGGTATATATATTCTGTATACAGAGTCTCGAATATATTTTAAACATAAGAGGCAACATTGATCGAATGACGAATCCATCCCAGATACATTACAATTACAATCACGATAATGCTGCACGTTACACCATACCTTCAATGATTTCAAGCCTGTTCAGAACCCAAGTCCAGCCAAGAAATCTTGAAAAAAGCTGCGTAAATCACGAAAGATTCTTCAACAACAGAAACTTCCTTATTCAAAATTATCGACTGAGAAAATTGTCACGTTTTGGACCTTCCCAAAAAAACATCGCACGTCAACGATTGAACACGTAATTACCCAGGTACCATCACGCGAACCCTTTTCACCAAAATTAAAAAAAGTAGGATGCGCGTCACAGGCACAAATGAATACGTTTCCATTGTTTATAGCATTTCAAGATGCGCGAAATGCTTGAGTCTTCAAGAGATTTTTACATCCTTTCCAAAAAGAACATATTCAAAACCCACGACGAGTGATTAACATCAAAATTCAGACGTGAGAAGCTAAATAATTAGCTTACGTTTATAGTTTTCCAGGGACACTATTTCAATCTATAAAAATGATCCTGGCTTCAACAAGTTATTTCAAATAATTATTCCAGCCTGAATAGTATGCATCGAATTTTCAACATCGAAAAATAAAAATAAATGAATTTCATAGAAACCAACGTGTAATACTTTTTTTTACGCGCTGATTGATAGTATCTATTCAAGGAACCCACTGCTGCATTCAATTCATGAATGATCATAACTCTTGAAACTTACCTCAGGCGACATACTGTCCAGCAAGTCCTCGAAACTTTTGGCCTTGTCCCGATGACAAAACTCTCGATATGCGTTGTAGGGCGGCAGCGCATGGTCCCTTCCCCTTTGGATATTCAATGCTATCAGATCCAACCCGAATGGCTTATCCATGGCGAACAGGAAATTTTGAACCTTTAAACAAAGGCAAGGAAACGTTGAATTGTTTGTTTTTTCAATCCATGCTTCAACAGTTGATTCAATTTATTGATTACAGCACTGTGGTTACAAAAAACGTTACTCTTCCACAGGAAAATCACATAAAGCACTTTTTTGTTTGAAAACTCAAGTGGAACTAACATACATGTGAATAAATATTAAGGTGAGTTCCTCAAGCAGAAAAGGTTAAAAGGAATCATGGATCGTATTTTACATAACTTCAAGGGACCAGCAAAAAAACTGAAATTAGGAAAACAAACATTTGCGTTTGGGGAAAGGAGAAGTATTACAGGAAATTGTAATTAGTGAAATTCTATGCCTTAGATTTCTTCTTGAATGAGTTGAAGGGATGATGAAATTGGAGGTAAGGTTTCATTTGCCCAATGAGTCTTTTGCTACATTTCAAACCACATCAAGTTGAATGTTTACTCACGCTTGTTTAAAATCTTATGCTATTGTGACTGCTAGCGACATCTACCCACACTATCATCATTATAATCCCAATGGACAAGCCCTGGATATCGATCACCTGAATCTCGAACAACTCACTGAACAGCGTTCATGGGACAAACGAAAAACCCCCTTCCCCCCGCGAATTTAACCAATTGACACAGTTTCAACAAATAATTTCCTTACGGCATCAGTGAAACTGTTGTCGAAAGTCTGGCTCTTTTCTGTCACCAGTCCTCTGAGGAGACCTTCCAGAACCCCCTTTCTGTACAATGCCACGGGGTTATTCTGCACTAGCCTCAAGGGGATGTCTTGCACTATCGACAAGCGCTCACTCAACAACCTTCAAACAGGCAAAGAAAAATGTACTGTGTAAAATTGGCATTATATGAAACTAAAGAAAAACAACATCTCGCTATACAGTATACTGAAAGACTGAACTCACTCATAATTTCCCTGGAGAAGCGTGTGGCCGAATCGAAACGCAATAACAAATTCTGAAGATGAAGTCGGGTTCACGGAATCATCAAACAAGTCCGAGAAACCTTGTACCAAGGGCGTGATTCCCAATTCAAACATGGCTTTAGCTCCTGCGAACAAAAAGAAAACACTGTACAGCGTAAATAAATAAAAAATAATCAATTATTTATCAGTCGCATGGCTTTGTGAATTAATCATCGATCTCTCGAGAATGACGACGTCGTGGAATGACAATTTAATTCGATTAACTCGTCGGAGCGCCTTCGCGGTCATTAACGAAATTGCAGTTTCAATAATGAACGAAGATACTGTAGTCGTTTCCCATGGAGAATTGGCCCTTGACATACCTATGATCAGTGGGAGCCATTCATTGTAGATTATGTGCTGCAGTTGTGCATTCACGATCCGTCTCGTCTCAAAATACAAACGATCCGAATCCCATTTTGGATTGATTCTTTTCAACTCGTCCACGATTCGGTTGTGTTCCCGGATGAACAACGTGTGAACAATGGTCAACACTATTTGCTCATTCACTCTTCCTTCACCTGAAATATTAAAAAAAATATTTTGTACATTGCAATTAAAATACGGTTTCTCGATAAAAAAAAAAAATAATACGACGTCATAGATTCTAAGTCACTTTTAAATTTTGCAAAACCTCACGGTGAAAAAATAAACCGTCGCGTCGCTGAATATACGAGGGTTGTCCCATTTATGATTGACCTTGCGTATTTCTAGACTATAGGTACCACTTCGAAAAAAATCTACCCTTTTGCTCATCCAAATTTAAGGTTCCATGATATTTTTGTAAGTTTTTAGATTTACTGCAAGACAGTAAATGAAAACTTTCCAGTTTTGGCGAGCATTTTCCATCCATGTCACAAGCTTTTAAAAAATTTTAATTCAATTTGGATGATCTAAATGACTTTTTTTTTCCAAGTGGTACCCAGTCTAAAAATACCCTAGGTCAATCAAAATAGGGACAAGCCTCGTAATTACGCATTTTTCGCTTCTTAATATTCAGGATTCAAAATTTCAACACTGGGTTCTCGGGAACCCCAGAAAACCTTTCCAACAGAAAAAAACATCGAAGCACGTGATCAGCCTCATTTTTTTATTGAGGCAAAATGAATTTTTTTTTAATCCTTGAACATTACAACAAACACTCGTATTTCGATTTACAAATTATGTCGAGGAAAACTGACCAGCTCTGAAGCAAAATTCCCCGATTTCAGGATTGCCACATTCTTCCTCGTCGGGAGTACGATCTTGAGGAAGCAGAACTTCATCCCAACCAGCAACTTCTGTAACCAACATTTTTCCACCAGGTCCTCTAATAAGTTTTGCCTCAGCCTGAAAATATTAAATCAAGCCATAAAAAAAATCATGCACCCACAAAAAATCCACGGGCCTCTCGTCTTGCACATAGCATTTAGTTCAATTTTGATTGCATTAAATCACAACATAATATGAGACCAGCTTTTAAAAAAAGGAATAATGCACTTGCGTTTTCAATAAATTAAAAATATCAGTCAATGTTCACTTCAAACACTCGTATCATGCATATACAATATTCTTTAAAATTCTTTTCCAAAAGTGACATCAAATCATAATCAAATGTTCTAGTAAACTTACTTCAGATGACCCATAAATCACAGATGCGTCCAAGACATGATTGATCTGGTTGATCTAAAAATAACAAGGAAAAAATGCATAAAACGTTAATTAACAGAAATTGAATTTTTTCCGCACCTGTTGCGCAAACCCGGAAGTGCACCTCACATTCTGCGCAGGCAAAGCTCGCACAAAATTCAGACACTCGACATTAAACTGTGCATAAAACGGATCGTCCAGAGGAACGGGAATTGGAAAACAGGCATGATGCAAAAAGTTCGGGTCTCGAATTAAGCGATTATCTTCAGTGCAACAGGATATCATGGCATTATTTGGCCCACTGAAAATGGCTCCCAAGGTGATATCGTGGTCGACAAATTGACCGAAAACCACAGTCAGCAACGTAATCCCATTCAGTGGCCTGTTCCTTTCTGGGATGAAAGCTGCCGAAATTTTTCTTGCACTCGGAAGAGGGTTCCCATTCGCTGATTTCACTCTTGGCGTGAAAATACCTTTGAAAATTACAGAAGTACATCATTAATGTCCAGAGATTAATTCCGTAAATATGACACAAAGAAAGCATGTGAAGAATAAATGCGATTTTTCCAATAAAAAAAAACATCGGGGTTTCCGAAATTTTCTGAAACACCGTCGAAGTCTCAATGCAGACCTGAAGCCCCAAATTTTCAATTTACAATTATTTATTCACGCTGTACAGGGATTTCTTCTTCCTTGGTTCCCAGGAACTGAAGCTTCGTTCGATTTTTTTATGTTTGACAAGATACACTTGACGTTGAAACGACAATAGAAATGATTTCGCCAGCAGTAATTTGTCGGCGAAAATCAGGAATAATTTTGATTTTCGAACGTAATTCACAATCCTCAACAGGCAAATTAGCGGAGAAATATGCTGTTCTCGGCGAAATGGGCATTCTTAAACAAAAAAGTACTGTATTTTAAAATGCATGATTTATCATAATACAATAGAAGGACTGCACAAGAGCACGAACCATCTTCATAAACAGGAAACAAAGCCCGATTGAAAGGAGTGTTGGTCCTTCCCCAGTCCGGAAATTCAAGGTTCGTGCAAGAGGCGTCGAAAGTACGAAAAAATGCATCAGGATCACACGTGACATTTCCACGGCACACGTCAGCCAACGACGTTTCGATCAGGCTGAACTGACGTAAACCAATACCAGCTTCGTTCGGCGACAAGTTTAACCTGAAAAAAAATCAATTTACCGTATTAACCTAGAAAAGCTATTCCTCCGTGATTTCGGCACAAACATTAAATGTATATTCAGGATAATCATATGAGCCAACGGCAACCAACCAACCAATCTCAACAATGTATAAGTAAAAAACCAAAAATTACTCAGTTGGTCAAACATGCAACTGAAATGAGTCGACTAACCTATTAATGAATCCACGAGTAATACGCAAAAAACATTTTAATGTCTCTAGAACTACAATACAGTTTTTCAAAACTAAGAACACCAAAATTTAAATTTGGACACGAATTGAACCTGAATGACTAATTTTAAAATGCTTCTGTTGAAATGAGTTTTTTTGGTTAAACTTCGTCCAAAATTTCCAGTGCACCAACTCCACAACTTTTTGAAATATTAATACCTGCCTATAATTTGAGAAAAATGTCCACATGGTACTCAAATAAATAAGAAACCATACAGCACTAATCTAATCCAGTACCTTTAGCGAAACTAACTATAATGCCTTTCCCAACTAACCCTAACCTGAATTGTTTAGAATTCCATGAAAAGAATTTTTTCTTAAATCATTGTTGGTAACATGAAAAGCATCACCATCAGAAAATTATTCTAGAACAGCAAAAAGGGACTGATCATCGTTGCAAAACATTTCAAAACGCACAAGATTTACTTAATTGTATCAAAGCGTATGCAGTATACTGTATTCAGAAGAAAGGAACTACCACATCAGAAGCATGTCTCAAGAGTAACTTCACATATTTTTGAACATTTAGAATTAGGATTGTCAACACTCCATATTCTCACCGTTTTGCCACGTTTGTGGCTGCAAGAATTGACCTGAAAGCTCGTTCTCCTTCCGCCAGAGTTTCCGGGTTCCTCCTACGGAAAAAAGTGGCGTGAAAACTAGACGGCTCAGTTCCATTGAGTCTGAAACCTTTTCGAATCAATGCTTCAGCCTGGAAAACAGTGGTCACGTAAGAAAAATCATACAATAAGATTCAAGTTTGGTTATTCTCACACGCTCCTGCATTCGACGAAACTCGACCGCAGCTTTCTCGCTGGCTTCATTCAGTTCAACCTTTTCAACTTTCCTAATGTCGAAATTGTTCCGAAGAACCGGTTCGTCACCGAATACTTCGATTACATTACCTGCACGACGAGAAATGCTTCAGTATACCGCTGAGTTTAGATTGAACGATCGTTACTTACTTTTCAGATTTGGATCACCTAGTGGACAACAGATCCCTTCTTTTCCGGAGTCCGTTTCGCATTTGAAATCAGGATTCCCGGAGAAAACCCCGAACCATGCACCACATAAAGAAGGTACGAGACACGTTCCTGGACCATATGACGAAGTAGTACAGGTTTTCCCAATTGAAGAAGGGACATCATGGCTGAAAGTGATACATTTCGGACCAATCAAGCTTCGGATACATTCACTTCCGCCCCACTGACGAGTAAAACGGAACCAACCTATGCTCAGGTTGCGATTTCAGCAAAGGCGTCAGCAAAGGATTCTGGTGCGAGTGCTGCGTATCAACGTTGACCACAGGATGGATCAGCAAGCTGAACACTGCAAGCTCGAAACCCAAGGCACACTCCATCACGAAACAAAAAACAGAAGAAACTCGCCAGTCTTAAGGATAATTAGACTGCTGCTAACTTGACAATACCGTCTATCACACCGCAGCTATTCGATCACAAAGCGTTCACGGCTTTCCAGCGTCTGTAAGACAGGTTATTTCCATCAAAATGATTGTTAAGTGTACCATAACGTCCGGACACCGTTCTATACTTCCTCTGTTAAAATACTAAATTTCAACATTTCCCCTGCCCAAGAGCGCGAGAAGTAGAGAAGCTCCGAGACATATTTTCCAAAAGTTCGCCGTAAACCCGCCTTTTCTGAAGGACTCAAATGGATCTGTAACGCAACGTTCACATTAGATTTGCGAGATGTCGCCCGAACTACAGGCCCAATGAAATACAAAACTAAAAATTTTGTTGTGGAAATTATAGTAACATAAAACTTGTATTATTCCATCTTAAAATTTTTAGGGTTATGACTTTGTTGTGGAAAGGCATATCCTTGCAACTTTGCAACATTCATAGATTTTAAATGGGTACAGTGGATGGATGTACCCCAGAAACTTCTTTGACCGACATAGTAGAGGAAACGCTTGAATCTGAACACGCCTTGAGCGGAATTAACAGCGGTCTCTGCGCTGCGGTCTGTGGGGAATGTCGTCAGATTATGTCTTTGATGAAGAGCGCAGAATGAGTTTTTTGATACACTGCTTGTGAATAAGGTCCGTTCAGTGATATTTGTACCGACTTTCCATCGCGATGAAGGAAATCCGATTAGGATTTGAATATGTGTGCCAAGTGTTCTCGGTTCAATGACCACGGTGTTTCTTCATTTCAGATAGTTGAGGGACATTTTCTTTTTTCTCACCCTCACGAGCCTTGAGGTTCGACGCAAAATCTTGAATTAGCCTTCGACCTGGATTACTTTTATCAATCATGTCAAAGTTAACCCAAGTTTTGGCCTTAGATCCAGCTCATGAGCTTCGATTTCAAGGGCCCTACACTTCTGACGTGAATTCGCGTTTGGAATTGAGCAATCCAACCGATCGCCCCGTTGCTTTCAAAGTGAAGACTACTGCACCAAAGCGTTACTGCGTGCGACCCAATTCCGGCATCATCGATCCCAAGCAAACCATGAAACTCGTCGTAATACTTCGCGCCTTGGACGAAGACCAACTCACGGATCAAGTCAAGGACAAGTTCATGGTCCAAAGTATGTTCTGCGACGACGGCGAAGTATGGAACGAGTCGTTGTTCAAAGAAGCGTCTCCGGACCAGCTCATGGACTCGAAGATCAGGTGTGTCTTTGATCCTCCAAAGCCTAAGGTGGACGAAAAAGGCGAAGAACTCCCGCCAACTTCATCCGCTTCTGACGTAATCGCACAGCTTCGTGACGAAAACTCGCGTCTGAATCGCGAGAAGCTTGAGTTATTGGAAGAGTGCGCCAAACTTCGCAGGCGTCCTGTCGTAAGCGACAACAGCCCTGCAACCCATCAAGTGGCCACTGCCGAGAAGCCGCCGGGAATCAACTTGACGATGGAGATCCTAGCTGTTGCTTTTCTTATAACATTCGTCATCGCGCTATTCATCGGCAAAGCCATCCTTTAGATGCTTACAAGCTCACCTCGTATTTACTTGCAAATAGCCGTGTGATAGGTTCTCTTTCTCTACCGCGCTGTGATTCTTCCTTTCCCTCGCGCTTCGCACGGTGAAGGAGAACAAAATTGCAGCGGTGTGAGTGTGTCTGACTAACTGGAGCTCTAGTGTTTTAGGCTACTGGATCCTCGTTTCGCTCCTGTTTTTGCTTCCTTTACGAGTTTGATTGAGATGAAAAGAAAAGGTTTCGGTGACTGGAGAACATCAGGAGCGTGGGAAGACGAGCAATTCGGAGCTTTGTGGTTCTCCTGGTCTCCTTCAGCGTTGTGTTTTTTTCCCTCGTCCTTGGCATCTTCGCGTGTTTTATCGTTCCGCGGTCAAGTTTATTCATTGTATCACCTTCATTTCCGCGGTCGCCGTGTCTGGGGAGGGGAGTTTCATTGGGTCGTTCAGAATAAAGCTGGCGAGCAAATTTCCCTATTTCTCCCGGTTGAGAGAAAGACTTTCCGTGGGGGTTGACGCAGAAATGTTGTGCTGACGATGCGTTAAATGGGTTCTTTTCCGCCCGCCCCGAGTAGTTGAAGTCATGTTGAAATGCCGTGTGATCCCCAACTTTTTTCTATCTTTGAAATGTGGAGGTGGGGCGGGGGGCGCTTGTTCTACGGTTCTTTTTTGGATAGCATCTTAAGCCTGATGGTATCTTCTAGCCGCAGTTTTTGCTTCGAAAACAGTTCCTTATGTCAACTTGTTCTTATTTTTGAGCAATTTTACTTTCTTCTTGACATTGATTCAGGCTTTGAACGGTTTTGGAAAATGGCCCCGGTACAGTGCTTTGATGCGTGGGTTCTTCTGTAGATATGAGGTGTTCTTAATGTTAAGAGAGATTTTAAATCGTTTGAGACGTCCTTCACGCTGCAATTTAATGAGTGATCGCTGCAAAAATGTGCGAGTTGTCAACATTTCGGGTAATTCATCTTGTTTTGGTGTGTTTATTTCTCATTTGATTTCGCTGGAGTTATTCTAAACTCTATGAATTGAAGCGCGTGGGTTTTTCTAATACTTCACGTTTAGAAAGAACAAAAATGACCATTTTTGTCGATTTTTTTTTTTTTACGACATGGTGTATCTCATAGCTGTACAGATGATGACCTCGCATTACTGTGCCAAATTTCACTGGTGTTTTAAGTGCCCTTTGCTGAACGGGCTTGTTTTCATCGCCTGCTTTGAACGGGACTGATTTTTTTGCTAATGAATTTTAATTCTGGAAAAAACGCACTAGTCTTCGTGCTTGATCAGTCAGCTTGTGTTGCTCATTTTACCATACTAGATCAGTCAGTTTTGTTCAGCGACATTTTCATCAAACAACTGCAGGATGCTCTTCGGCAAAAATTAAAGGGTTTCCAGGGTTTAGCACCATTTGCGTCAATCCCCAGAAAAAAACGTTTCTATTCATTCTTAGCATTTGAAGACAAGTGTCAAGATTGATCCATAATCATGCGAATTTCTTTTTTTTTTTAAGCTGGCGATGTTGAAGAAACATCCCAAGTCGATTCGCTGGAGTTCAGTATTCAAAGGTATTATCGTGATTGAAGGTCTAGCAGCAGCTGGAGGTTACTTCGTTTGGTACAAATTGTGCAATTCAAGTGACTTCCGGAAATACATGCACCAAAACCACGCCTGGGCTCTGGACGTGTTCTACACTACGTTGCAGACGTTCGGAGACGAATCCATCACGCAGGCGAAAGATCTGGAGCTTTGGAAGAAGAGAGTTTAGTGTGTACGTTTAATTAAAGTTCACATTAAAAAAAATCAATTTACGCGTTCAGTAATTCAATTTATCTGTAGAATATGAGTGCGGGTAGAGAAGATGTTTCCAAGTGGTTTCCAGCCGGCGACTGGGAAGATGACGAGAGGATGCAAGCCATGTTTGAACCATTCATGTCAAAGAACGCCATTCCAGAAGCATACGAGGGCAAAATGGCGTTTTGGTTCGATGTGATTGAAAAGTGAGAAATTGTTTCCATTTTTGAATTTCATTTTATGCTTGGAAGTATTGTTTTAAAATCTGCCGATGTCGTTTCGTCACGCAAATTGTTCTTACACGCCGAAGTTCTGAGCACTGCACAAGGAAGGCGCAGAATTTTTAATTAAATTTTGTCTTTGATCTAGCAACTCGAGTTAAAAATAGTTGAGGAAAAGATTTGAAAGAAATGCAGGTGGACTCTCAACAGCGAAATTCAGGGGAGCAGAAAATAATTTTGTTATGAAGAAAAAATCGTTGCTGAGGGTCCGCCTGTGATAAAATGATAGTGAACTAATTTCTTCAACTCAAGTTGAAGAAGGAATCCAAAATCAACTTATATTTTCAAAAAATATCGTATATAATGCCAATTTGGGCATTGATATCCGTTTCATCCATTAAAATATGCGATGAAAAGCGTTTTAAAATATTTTCGGAAGCCATATTCTTGCGTCTATGCATGATTTTTTTTTTTTTCACAGAACAAATATCGTCATGTCCTTGCTAAGCTCTTTCCCAGAGTGACGTTTTAAAGTACTGTGTGAGCGAATGATGAAAAATAGTGTGATGTTGGTTAGAATACTGTGGTTGTCGCGAATGAAGCACAACTCAAGGGGTACCCGTGCTTAAAGATAAACGAATCATGTTCTGGCTGTTATTTGACTAGACAAGGGTTAATCCCACTTCCGGTTTTCTTTTCTGAGAAAACGTGTTCAACATCCACAGTTCTGGTACTGTTTTTCGCAGCATTCCCCCCCCCCCCCTCCACATTTCAAAGATAGAAATAAGTTGAGCGCAATCCTCGAGTAATGTTTTTTTTCCGCCCCCCCCCCCCCCCCCCCCCCCCCCAATTCCTGCGAATTGAATGCCTGAGGGCACTTGTAGATTGCTTCATTACTTTAAATTATACTGTAGTTGGGTATCATAGAAAATTAGTCTTGGATTTTTGAAATGAGGATTTCCGATTCTTCGTGTCAGCGCTTCTTTTTTTTCTTCCAGTGGTGAATCACGTGTTCGTTTCTCCTCGACATCGTTCGTGCGACTTGACTGTAAATAAAATTTTAGAAAGTCATTTGATTGATTTTTATTTTCTCGTGCAGGTACTGCGTGAGCATGAAACAGCCATTGGTGACGGCCGCGTCACTCAGGTCCGTCTTCCACCGGAAAGGCAAACATCCGGATTGTCTGCGAGACGTTTTGGCCGAAATGTGCACCAAAAGGGAGCAAAACAGCGTCGGGTTTGCGCTGGTGCCAGTGGACAAATTGCCTGGGGCGTCTTGGGCCTCTGTTGGAGAGTCTTGGGGAGGATGGGCCTTTCGATCCGCATCCACGGTAGCTGTTAGTGCCATGGGATGGTTATCTCCGAAAGCGACTGACTCTGGAATGGATTCCGCTGTGGAATTCGTGCATCCGAAAACGGTTTGTTATCAGAGTTGTTCGCTTGCTGGGTGTCTTGTGCTTCCTTGTTGACTTGATGCGTCGCCGGGATCAAAGCGAAAGTCTCTGTGCGTGTGTATCATGATTTGAGATAAGGTTAAACTGTTTATCGAACTTTCTGGAAGCTGAATAACTTGTTCTCTGACGTGTTGTAGCGGCATGCGTTGAATGTTTCCGGAGGCTTTATTTTTTGTTTTTATTTTGAATGCTGGGGAAATTCCAAGATGGTGGATATCAGTTATGTTTATTTCTTGTTGAAGCTAGAGTGTTCATGCATTGATTTATATTGAGATTGAGTCTAGCTTTGAGGTCAAATTAGACTTAGGTACCAGGGGAACCCGCTTTTTTCTGAATTGTTTGTTTCCTTTGCTTACCTTGGGTCGTATTCGATTATTATTTTAGTTGAGGCTTCAAGTATGATATAAGGTTCTCAATTGCTCGATTTTTCTAATTCATGAGTTCATATGTATAGCTTCATTCTTTTTATGAGGAACGCGTCAGGTTACGTACTTTGGTATGCAATAAGTTTGAGTTAGTCTTGAAGCATTAAATGAGCTTTGTTTGGTATTGTGTTAGTCTGAAGTCTTGACATTGATTACTTGGGTTCAAGCTTAGTACGATTCTAAACTAGGTTAATCATCGAAATTTAAGAAGTATGCAGAATTTTGGTGTTTGGATGAGCGTTGCCTCTTAACAAGGTAGTCAAAATCAACTTTTTCAATGTATGAAAATTTTTACGATCTTTGATTTTCCGAAATGAAATTTAAGAGCAGATTTGATGGTCAACAGGTGTAAATTTCGAAATAACGAAGTTCTGGTTTTTGTGTGAAACATTTTTGTTATACTGTAATTTCAGATAGCCAAAATGTCTCACGAATTGTTGGAAGATCAACAAGCATTATTCAAGGAAGGGAAATGCGAGAATGTGATGTCTATAGAGTGTTTTCAACGGCTGCTGGGCTCCAAATACAAGAATCTCGTAATTTTGGAGAAAATGCTGGGAGAAATGCAAAGGAGCGGAAGTGTCAAATTGGGGATGACATCCGCCGGGAAATTTCTCAAATTTGAAGCACCTGCTGGTGACCCGATTACCAACACTGATGTTGGTGTTGCCAAGTTGAAGAAGCTGGAGTTTGAGTTGTTGCAGCGTGTAGAACAGCTTGAATTAGATGTGAGTTTTATTCGCACGAAAAAAAAATCAGATATTCGTTTTATCCGTATATCTGATTCTGCAATGGCTAAATTTGTAAGCTTCTGAAAATGTCTCGAAGACTGTTCTATTTTCTGCACGTTTTAATCAATTGGCCGTAAATTTGTAAATTCATTTCATTTTCAAATTTCTCACGATTTGAAAAGGTCGAGAAACAGCTTTTCAGAACATGAGAGATTGGCATCGTGTGATGGAGCGACACCTAGCTTCTATGTCCTCAATTTGTGGATGATCATCCCTTGACCTTTCATGAATCCATTAATTAAGAACATTATTTAATTAGCGAATGGCCCGATCGTGTGTCGTATCATTCTAATACACGGAAGCATAGGCAGTCGTTTTCTGAACATCTGCCGTAAATTGGTAAATCATCGAATATTTTCCAAAGTCGTCGTTTTGTTTATGTTCCAGATGCATGCCGTGAGAGAAGAAGCCAAGAAATTATTGGGCCAGGGCCAAAGAGACATGGCCAAAAAGCGTTTGAGACGCAAACGGGCCCTGGAAAGAAAACTGGACGTGCAATCAGGGGCTTTAGACAATGTGACTGACCTGTTGGACCAAATCCGCCATTCTCGCACCAACGCAGAAGTGTTGTCTGTGCTCGGAGCTGGCCTCCGCTCCCTCAACTCAGCCCTGGGCCACGGTGGCCCAGACGATGCCCTCAAGCTGATGGACGAAGTTCGGGATGGATTGGCCGATGCTGCCGAGGTGTCGGAGGCCATCGCGGCCGCCAGTGGGCCGACTAACATTGCGGAGTTGGAGGAAGAGTTGGCTGGGCTGCTGAGTGACGAAGAAGAGACGCCCGTGGCGGCTACTGCTGCAGCTTCGTTGCCTGAACTCCCGGAAGTGCCTAAGCATGCTGTGACTACTCCTCAGAAAGTTTCTGGATCTGGGGATGATTTAGAAGATCGGCTCCGTTCCTCCTGCCCAACAGACAAAATCCGCCAAACAGACTTCTTTTGGTTTGAAATTAGTGTTGAAAATTGAATTTTTTAATTTTTTATGTAATTGAATTTGTGTACAGGACTTTTTGTCTAACAGACTTGTCCCTTGCACGAATCAAGTTCATTAGATGGGGGTTAACTGTATTATGAGGTAATTCCCAATATTTTTGGGGAAGCAATTTGACAAAGACATATACACAGTACTTCAAAGGCTGAAATCGGAGACTTGGTCACTGTGCCACAGCTTTAAAAAAATTTGTATTCATATTTAAATTTGATTGAAGAATATTTCAAAATTCTGAAAGTTAATTTGAATTTATTTTCAGACGAAGTTCGGGATGGATTGGCCGATGCTGCCGAGGTGTCGGAGGCCATCGCGGCCGCCAGTGGGCCGACTAACATTGCGGAGTTGGAGGAAGAGTTGGCTGGGCTGCTGAGTGACCAAGAAGAGACGCCCGTGGCGGCTACTGCTGCAGCTTCGTTGCCTGAACTCCCGGAAGTGCCTAAGCATGCTGTGACTACTCCTCAGAAAGTTTCTGGATCTGGGGATGATTTAGAAGATCGGCTCCGTAAGAAGAGACGCCCGTGGCGGCTACTGCTGCAGCTTCGTTGCCTGAACTCCCTGAAGTGCCTAAGCATGCTGTGACTACTCCGCAGAAAGTTTCTGGATCTGGGGATGATTTAGAAGATCGGCTCCATAAATTGCGTAACACATCCTCGTGATTTAATTTTTTTTCAATTTAAGGCCGTGGTGCAGTGATCATGCGTGAGAGTCAAGGAGTATTGAATAAAAAGTTCTGTTTCGTTCGAGTCTAAATGAAGCTGTAAAGTGATTAAAATCTAACGATTCAATTCCTATTCAAAGCTCCGAATCATCGTATTCCATCGCAGTCGCCGCAATTAGGTTCTTCATTACATTGTAGGGTTGTCGCTGAGATTACAGCTAATCATTTTTTTTATAGATGTGTTGATTCAGGTAATTATTCTCCACTTTTTTCAAAGTTTGGTGGTTTTCCGGAAAATTTTTTTGAATGAGAACTGTTTCCCCTGTTCTTCATGTAACTATATCGTGTACTTCGACCGATCAGCCAATTTTTGGAGAATTATTTGCCCAAGCGAAGTACAGTACTTTTATTTCGGGAAGAAAATCGCTGGTGCAGTATTTATTTTTCACTGACTTCTAAATTTAGAAACTCCGATTTTTATAGTAAGAGGTAATGATTTTAGTGACATTCAAGATCAAGTATTCAATGAAAAGAATTGAAATTCCTCTCCAATCCCCTCCATTACTTAAATGTTCTTTATTTTCTCACATTCGGTGCAGTAAGTTCATTTGTCAAGCTTAAAAATGTATGTGAATCTCAGTAAACCAATATTTCGTAGAATTTTTCGTCTGTGATTTAAAGGAATGAAAGATTACGTAATGTTTACTCAAATTCGGTGAACTAAAGAGAGTTATGTGATGGATGGTAAATTTGAGCTTCCTTGTGGGACTTTTAATGTATGAAAACCATGCATCATTTACGTTTTAGTTTACTTTGAGCTATCATTAATTTAATTTCCGCGTGAAAAGCATTTTTTTTGGCGAGTAATAAATTACTGGTTTGCTTGTGGTCTCCTGTATTGCGTGAAAAATTTGCAGCAGATGGTTGATTGCGTGCTCGGGGAGTTGTTTTTTGCGGTTTTGGGTTTTGCAATCCACCTGCTGCTGCGGGAATGTTACGAAAAGAGAGGAAAAACGGACGAGAATTTCTCCGAGCATCCGCCTGATTACTGACAGGTGGTAAGTACTTACCTAGTACAGTACTTGGCTCATCACTCAAGCTCTTTCTTCTCAGTTGAATGGTCGGGTAACAACGAACCTTTTCTTAGGGACCTTGCAACTGACCGCAGGGTCTACAACGAGGTGTTAACGCAACAGTGGACGTTTACACACACACACCACCTTCTATAGTTCCTCAACGTAGTACCTATGGACCAAAGAACGCTTGAGTGGCTCTGTGAAAAATGTACCTTGTCATCTGAGCTGTACAGTATACAGTACTGTATATGACACCCAGCTTCTTCCAACGGGAAATGCTTTTTCTCTACGAGGATCTTGTCTAAAGCGAATTAATCTGTACTGCTCTACAGTGAAATCCTAGGGTTTGGAAAATAATTTCGTTGTAGAGAAAATTGTATTGCAGAAAACAATTACAACATGGGAAGAGAACTGTACATAGGGCATGGAAAAAATTCCTTTGTCGGTTAAATTGTGGAGGGATTCCACCTGCATAATAATTTTTTCCCATGGGTTCTTCCAATGCTCTCCATGCTTGCTGTAAAATCTTGTCTGATTGTTAAAAAAGAGATGACCTACCAGTTGAGAAAGATACTACTTTAAGTTCCCCGGTCTTTTATTAAAAAACACCTCTCTTAAAACAACACGTATGTTGTACCCGTCTTTCGGGACACCCTGGTTTAAATGGTTATGATTATAAAATTGTTGTAGAAAAGGTTGTTGTGAAGAGAGTCCACCTGTATAATGATTTTTTTGCTAGTGTAGATGGCACTGCACATTCCCAGCAGGATGATGCACCCCAGGAGTATGCTTTACCTTGACAGGATATATGTACTCCAGAGTGCATCCTACCAAAATAAGATTTTCTTGCATTTTCTTTGGACATCATGCATTCTTCAGAAAGTAATGTGTGAAGAAAATCCAGTTTCAAGAAATGGTAGTTATGTTTTCTATGTAAACCAGACTTTCTGCACCTTTCAAAGTTTATGAAATCACTCTTGCTTGGTATCAATATGTTTGATTTTCTGAGCAGAACTCATCAACATTCATAAAATTTGAAAATTTTCACAAACTTAATGCATGTTTCAATTTTTGTTTCTCTTTCATACAATTCAGAGACACCTGACCCACAAAAATTTGTGATAATGGGTTGCAGAAGGTCAATCCTCAGGGTAAAAAATTATTGATTAGGGGCCAGGGATTACCAGGATTCAGTAGCTGCAAGGTGAGTAGGTGACACATCATCATTCACATGCCAATTTTTGGGGACACATTTGTGGGGGAGTGCACCCTATCCTGGGGGAGTTGATTATTGTGCCTGGGCTTTGGTTGAGGCAGAACATCTTCTGGAGTATGTCCTGCCTCCTACACTGAGATGAGGTTCTCTGCCCATGCTACTTCAATAACATCTCTTCAATAACATGCTTTTTTATGTTCCCTTTAATTTTGCTGTAGAGAGAGCAATTGAGTATTGGTCTCTCCATGGACAATCTGAAGGTTGTGGTACAATTGAACCCTAATTTGAATGAGTGTCTAATTAGCTGGACCCAAATTGTACTGGCAAAGTGTCATGTATATCTTGAAATTTTACCTTGAGGCATTTTTTCTCTTTTATCATAAATGAAAAACAAAGCTTGAATAATTTGAGATTTACACAATTATTTCAATAATTGTAATATTTTATCAGGTGAAAAATGTTCATACAGTATTGTAATGGGCCACACTGTATATTTATTCAAGTAATGTGAGCATATTTTTCCAAAATTGAAAGTTTTTTCTCAGTGGTTGGTTGTATTTTTAGTCTGATTTGACAAAACCAGGATTTTTCAAGGGAAAGTAAATTATTTCAATTCTGAGTTGGGCTTCAAGAAACAGAATTTTTCTTCCAGAAAATAGATGTGTCGTTTTTAGAACTAGAACCTGCAGCATTAACCTGTGCTGCGTACTGAATTACTTATTGACACGAAGCAACCCCGTTTTTTGAATTCCTTCGGAGGAGTTTTTGGTCTATTTCTGAGTAGCTAAGCATTCCAGAACCGTGCAGCTAGTCGCTCGTGCCATTTTCGGTTGGTTAAAATGTTATTCTTCCATGGCTCGTTTCCTTCATTTTGGTTTCTTTGCTCAGGTCAAGACACAACACCGAATCTGTGCCACTGAAAACCATTTAAAAAAAAGAAAAAACCCCGTGCAGTAAATATGCGGGCATTTTCGAAAGACTGTGAACTTCCTCTGAGAAGCACTCCAGCTGCCTTTCGTGAAAAATTTCAGAAATGTTCTTCGAATTATGCCAAAAGGCTTACCTTATTCTAATTTCCCTCCCAACTTCAGGTTTGATATTCAAATGTACATTAAACAAAATTCATTAGTTTCGCGACGGTGGGAATTGAGATGGCTTTCATTGTTTTGTGTTACTGCTGTCTATGCGAGGTTGGAAGAAAAACTACACTCAAACTCTTCTAAAAACATTGAGGAATTTTTTAAAACTTCATCAGCATCAGAAGTAATATTAATTCCACATGAAAAATGGACAACCCTGTAAATGAAGAACTGAAGAAAGCGTACATGTTATTTGCATTTAATTACTTAATTAAATATTTAAGGACAATTTAAGTAACCATAATTTGTTAAATACCNGCATCCGCCTGATTACTGACAGGTGGTAAGTACTTACCTAGTACAGTACTTGGCTCATCACTCAAGCTCTTTCTTCTCAGTTGAATGGTCGGGTTTGTTGCTTGGAAAAGAATCCCTGGAACGTTGACTGGCGTCCCAGATGTTGCTCCACAATTGCGTTGTCACCTGCAAATGTGTGTGTGTGGTGGAAGATATCAAGGAGTTGCATCATGGATACCTGGGAAGAACGCTTGAGTGGCTCGGTGAAAAATGTACCTTGTCATCTGAGCTGTACAGTATACAGTACTGTATATGACACCCAGCTTCTTCCAACGGGAAATTCTTTTTCTCTACGAGGATCTTGTCTAAAGCGAATTAATCTGTACTGCTCTACAGTGAAATCCAAGGGTGTGGAAAATAATTCGATGCAGAGAAAATTGTATTGCAGAAAACAATTACAACATGGGAAGAGAACTGTACATTGGGCATGGAAAAAATTCCTTTGTCGGTTAAATTGTGGAGGGATTCCACCTGCATAATAATTTTTTCCCATGGGTTCTTCCAATGCTCTCCATGCTTGCTGTAAAATCTTGTCCATAACAATTTTTTCTCTACTGGATGGTCAACTCTTTCTATGATGAAATTCAAGGGGCCAGAAAATAATTTTTTGTGGAGAGAATTTTGTTGTGCATACAACATGGGCAGAAAGCCCTGTGGGACCAAAAAATGGTTATGATTATAAAATTGTTGTAGAAAAGGTTGTTGTGAAGAGAGTCCACCTGTATAATGATTTTTTTGCTAGTGTAGATGGCACTGCACATTCCCAGCAGGATGATGCACCCCAGGAGTATGCTTTACCTTGACAGGATATATGTACTCCAGAGTGCATCCTACCAAAATAAGATTTTCTTCCATTTTCTTTGGACATCATGCATTCATCAGAAAGTAATGTGTGAAGAAAATCCAGTTTCAAGAAATGGTGGTTTGTTTTCTATGTCAACCAGACTTTCTGCACCTTTCAAAGTTTATGAAATCACTCTTGCTTAGTATCAATATGCTTGATTTTCTGAGCAGAACTCATCAACATTCATAAAATTTAAAAATTTTCACAAACTTAATGCATGTTTCAATTTTTGTGTCTCTTTCATACAATTCAGAGACACCTGACCCACAAAAATTTGTGATAATGGGTTGCAGAAGGTCAATCCTTGGGGAAAAAAATTATTGATTAGGGGCCAGGGATTACCAGGATT